CTCGTCGGTGTATGTTGCTGTTGTAATGCCATCCAAGTGCGTTGCAAGAAAATCCAAGTCACGATAACTGCAAGAAATGAAATGCTTGACCCTGATTGGAGGGCAAGTTGGATCAAAATTCTTGCGCATGGCTTGTGTTGCAACACCTACCATTCTGTTAATCCAGAATTGGAGAAGGCTGTGTTGATATGTAGGGACACCTGGAGATTTTGGTGTGCTGTAATAGCATGCCTTGTTTCCATCACCTGCGATGAAGTCAACTTGATATCTGGCACACTCAAAAACCATAACAGCTAAGCACTCACCAACAATCCCAGCAGAGTCTGATGCATACTTCTGTCCGACGTGATAAACGCACACACGTGTCATTCTCATCCTAGCTCTTGTCAAGTCAACAATCTCATCTGTATCTCGATCCTTTGTCTTTCCCCAAGATACTTCAAAGATTGCCCATGAGACTTGTCGAACTCGTGTGTCGTTGTCATCTGTGTGATATCCAGCAATTTGCTTGATATAGCCATCCTTTCCAAGGCGAGCTGCCACCATCAAAGTCATGATAGTCATTGAAGCAAGTTTTAAAGTCAACCTCGTCGAGTCTTTCTCTGTGAGGATACAACGAACCAGCCTCGCAATTCATGAAAAGATGTCCTCCAAAGTTCTTGATGACATTGATGAAGTAATTGTTGAACTGTGATTTGGTTTCATCAAATTTTTCATGATCCTCATCGATAGTGTAGCCAATGTGTGGAATGAATTGTTGAAATCTTTCTGGAACCGGGCATTTTTCAAATCTGTTTCTGCACCAGTTTCCCAAATTCCAAAACATTGCTGTTATCTGTGGAGAGGATCTGTATGGAAATTCAGCATCCTTGTACGTTGGGTCTGATAGGCCTCCACCTAAATACCTGTAAGCCAAGCTATGCAAGATCATACAGTAAGGCAAGACCTTGTGGTCCTCAACGTAATCTTGGAGTACCCTTGTGAGATTTCCAAAATCGTCATCAATCCTCTTTTCTGCTTCTTTTGAGGATCTTTCTGCCTTGTCTTGATGAAGAGGATGCATCCTTGGATCACTACAACCATATTCAATGCGCTGATTAAGTTCTTGTAATTCTAGTTGTGGATCCTGATTCTTGTGTCTGGCAATGTACTCAACCATCAACTGGTCATCTGTAAGATGGTACCAAAAATCATGATGTGGAGACATGGTCTTCCTGTACTTTACATGCCAAAACATATGTCGATGCTTCGAAGACGCTGGATAACCTTTGTTGTAAAATCCTGCCCATTCACCATGGTAACCATCTGAAAAACAATCCTTCAATCTTCGAAAAACTGAATCATCTTCGTTTCCAGTGATATCTTGACCATAGTAAAGTCGAACTGCAGGTGTCACTTCAGGAGCTGTCTCATCATCTTGAATGTCTGTCTTCTTCTCCCCTGATTCCTCCTTTTCTGAGGAGCGTTCAGGTGGAGCTGATTCCTCTTTCTCTGAAGAGCCTTCAGCTGGGACATGTGGCTCCTGTGTCTTTTTCTTCTTCTTTTTCTTCGTCAGCAATCTTCTCTTCTTCATCCTTTTCTTTCTCTTGTCCTTCTTCTGGTTTGACAAAACTTTCCTTGATCTTTCGTTGAACATTCTGATTGCACATACTGATCCATTTCAATGTACACTCAACCAATTTGTCATCATCAGTTTCCAAAATGATATGTTTGTCCTCAATGTTCAAACTTTCAATGGTATGCTTGTACTCAGGATCACCTGCGCCTGGTCTTTGAAGATCTGGAAGTGGAGTGGCTGGATCATCGTCCACCATATGAGGATCCTCTGCTCCAAAGAAATTTTCTGCGCCAAGGTGTTCATTGTCCTTGAGAACTTGGTCAATATCCAGTTTGAACTCATAGTACTTATCGTAAGAGATCTCATAACCCATCATAGGTGCATACTGCTCCATAAATGTTGAAAAGGAAGCATCTGATAATGCTGACATCATCAACCATAATGAGAAGAAGCTTATGTCACCACGTTCAAGCGGTCGACTTCCTTCAAGATCATCTTCTGTGAGGATTGTTTGGCCTTGGAGTGTAATATCATGGAGGATCTGTCTGTGCTCTGGTTTGAGTTGCCTGACTAAGAACAGTCCCTGTCGATCTTCCATATTTCTTCGAGGATTTGCATCAGGTAATACCTCACTTTCTTGTTGTGGTTGTGTTTCCTCTCTTTCTTGAGAGCATACACCTTCTTCCTCTCTTTCCTGAGAGCCTGATGCCTTTTTCTCCTCTTTCCTGACAAAAACTTGTAGTCTTGGCAAAAACTCCAAATCATCTTCAGCATCATCATCATCGTGATCTTCCATGTCCACATTCTGTTGCTCTGATTCTGGGATGTGAGCAATCTTGTCCTTTCCAGCTACCCAGATGTAGCCATCGAGCTTTGTAGATGTGTGGAAGTCACCTGAACCGCATTCCCTGACCTTTGTCCTTGCTCTTGCAGATTGATGGAATGCTTCATGCTGAAAGAATTGATTGTAGGCATGTTCAACAAAGAATCTGTAGGATTGAGCTGTCAATTCCTTTCTGCTATCCACAAATTGTCGAAGCTTGTTCAAAGCAAAAACTGTGAAATGGCTAAAGCTAGCAGGTGCTTCATCTTCATACAGATCGATTGCCATGACCATCATCTTTGTGGAAAACGAGAAATGCCGTTCAGGTTCTGGGATGACTGTTCTCTTGTTCATGGGAACTGTAATTCCTTGAATAGTCATGTCATACCCATGTGTGTTCAACTCCAGTGCATCCAAAATGTTACCATCACGGTCCTTCTTTCTCCTGCAGAAATCTCCCCAGAGTTTGTTGTTCTCTCTAATGAACTGATCAAGATGCTTAGTGTAAAAGACAAAGACTGCTTCTGAGAGATACTCCATGTCCTTCTGTATTGCTAAGTCTCTTTAGTATAGCAAGAACTTCTCTCTCCATTCGTCTCTGTTGATACTGTGTCTGTCTTCCCAACCTGTTGGGGCAACTTGACCTCGCATCCAGTCTGTCCAATATTGTCGACAAGAGTTCATATGTAACCTTCCATGGCTTCAATGTTTCCTTCTCGATGGAAGTGTGCCAACATGCGTCCAATCTCCCAAGCTCTTGTGAAGAGTAAGCATAGATGTCCTGTCCATGGTAACTTCTCCCAGTCTGAGCGAGTGATCGATTGTCTACGAAGTGCTATCTTTTGTGAAGAGAGTAGTAGGTTCCATTCACGCAGAACTATCACTTTTTCTCCTGAGGAAGTTCTTGATGAGTTCACCGCTCTCTTACTCTGCCACAGGACAATACCTGCCTCATTACAGGACCCAGGGATTCGATGCAGAAATTGAACTTTTGGTAGCCGGTTCTACCACAGGGTCGTCAATATCATCTGGTGGATCTTCTGCTTCCAGAGATGACAGCCTCTTCACCCATTGGGGCGTCATGGAAGTCCAATGATGGCTCCTCTTGTTGATTGTCTTGAGCATCTTGTTGAGGATCATCATGTTGTGGTAATTCTGGACTTCCTGATGAGGAGCGTTGTTGCTCCCATACATCTTGAGGTTCCTCTCTTTCTGGAGAGCGTCCTCTTCTTGATGGTTGTTCATATGGATTTTCCATGGTTTCATCAGCCTGCGCAGATACCTCTCTTTCTCGAGAGCCTTCTGCTGCAGCACCATAGATTGATTCCACAACCGGGTCAAAGTCATTCTCATTGCATAGTGGTGTACCAAAAACCCATCTTCCATAGTTTTGTGGAACTTGCTGACCCATGAACTCCCATGCTGTGATTCTGACTTCCTCAGGAATGTCTTGTCCAGGAATAAATGTTGGACCTTTCTCCTTCATGACATGATTCCATGTTGTGTTGGTGTGCCATGAACCACCTGTAACTGATGGAGGTAGAGAGTGGCCACGTCCTTGATGAACAACGTTACATGCAATGGTAGGGAGTTGTTCCTTGACGTGGAGGTACTGGAAAGGAATGTCACCATGAAATAAAATGACACCATTCTTTGTCAGATAGAGTTGGGTGTCCACAATAAAACTTGGATCCAACACGAGGTACACTGGTCGCCTATAGTTT